GTCAGAGAAAGCAAAGAACTGGAAGAAGAAGAGTAATTTAATCAAGAGCATAGATTTGGGGGTCAGACGTTCACAGTTTGGATTTAATGCATTCTTTGGATTCTTCTAATAATACCTACGAATTAGTGAGTACAACTCAAGTATGCCATATATATATATATATAAGCATGTATGGGTATATATATGCACATACACACACACACACACACACACACACACACACACACACACCCCTCAACTCTGCCCTTGCCAGCCAGTATGATTTTGGATATACAATTGCTTGTCCATTTAACAGCTGTGTAAAGTCAGGGGGATTTGGACAAGGAGACAACCATGAAATGATTGTGATGAAATGAAGTAGAGATGTTTAAGGTAAAGCCAATAATAGATATTAGGAATCTTTAAGTGTTGAGGTGATAAAACTGAAAAATTAAGACAAATGCAAGGAACACGGTATGACTATCTAGCTGGCTGTGGAATTGATTCTAAGAGACATGGTACAGAGATAGGAGTGATTCATTCGGACAGAACAGCTATCCTCAGTGCCTATAATGGTGCCCAGCAGATGGAATAGCTCAATAAACATTTATGGCATAGAGAATTGTTGAATAAATATGTCCTGAGCTGGATCTGATGATATCTGGGGGAACCTATTTCTCTCTACCCCTAGGACTTCCCACTTAGGGAGGTGGATCATACATGCATTACTTCAGGTTTCTGGTATGAAATTTGTCGATTGAACCTGTTGCCTTTTCTCTTAACCCAGATTGGATTTACCAACATGTAGAATTCTGGTGGTTTTCCTGAGTGATGATCTTGAGGTGCTTCTGAGTCTCCAGCACCCATTCCACATCTCCTGGCAGGCTGCATGTTCTCATTCTTCCACTTGGAACCTGAAGGCTCAACACAATTCTTCTGGTTGCTCATGTGCAATCATAAATTTGGTTTATAAATTCCAGTAAATGTTCTGGTGAGGTGATTCCATACAAATCAGTCATTTTTATGGCTATGAGTCCACAAATGGCTTTTTCTGTTAGGCATTGAAAACTCTCAAATAAATGGAAACAAATCTTACTTTGAGGCCAAGTTTTTCTATCCTGGAACATCAGTTTCTGTGTGTGTGTTTTATTTAAGTTATGACTCAACGCCCTTCATGTTTCCTGGCTGAGTACTACTCAAGAATTTCTCATACTTTGGGGTGTGAGAGCAAATAGCCTGTCTGTAGCTGTGAACTCAAAGCCTGCTGTAATGTGATTCCCATAGCTGTATTTACATCTTCAAGAAATCTTATCTAAGCCGGTTGACCTGGGCTGTAAATTTCAGAGCATAGCTGACATTAACCCTGTTCTATGGAGTATTGCTGTTAACTCTTTGTTCCTAAAGTCAAAGGAACTGGGTGTCCATGAATATTGGAGGAGAAACAAATTTCCAGTTTGCCACTTCCAAAGGGCTTTAGAAAACTTTTAATTTTTATGAACTCACATGGTACTGCAGTGGTTTGACTTTAGCTCAGCCTTTATAATGTATCTTTTTAAAACAATATTTTTAAAAATTGTGATAAAATATATTTAACATAAAATTTATCATTGTAACCATTTTTTGGTGTATAATTCAGTGGCATTAAGTACATTCACAGTGTTGTACAATCATTGCCATTGTCCATTTCTAGAACTTTTTTTATCACCTCAAACAGAAATTCTGTATCTATTAAATAATAAATCACCATTCCCCTCTTCCCCAAGCCCCTGGTAACTTCTCTCGTACTTTTTGTATCTCTGAATTTGACTGTGCTAGGTACTCATATAAATGGAATCATACACTATTTGTCCTCTGTTGTTTGGCTCATTTCACTTAACATAACTTTGTTAAGGCTCATCCATGTTGTAGCACGTACCAAAATTTCATTTTTTTTAAAGCTGAATAACATTCCATTGTATGCATATACCACGTTTTGCTCAACCATTCATCTGTTGATGGATGTTTGGGTTGCTGCCACCTTTTGGCAATTGTGAATAATGCTGCTATGAACACTGGTGCACAAATATTTGAGTCACTGCTTTCAATTCTTTGGGGAACATACCTAGAAGTAGAATTCTAAGGTGTCTCTTTGATTTTTTAGTTTGATTTAAAGGAATATGCTGGCTTGGGTTTGTCTTATCATTTCTGTTTTACCATCATCTCAACGATTTTCAGTCGATAGGAAATGTCACTGTTGGTTCACATGCAAAGTAATGGTTTCAACACAGGGTGAAGAACTGTGGTCAGTTGACCATTGCACTTTCATCTAAAATCTGGGACAGTACTTTTCTCTCCCAAATATGAAGCTATGACTTACATGGTTTAGAATCTTAGTGGTATAGAGTTCCAAAAGCAATGTTAAACACATTGAGCTAGGCTGAAAAAAGCCATTTAGAAAGAACTTTATATCTTGGTTTGAAGCAAATCAGAATAGCATGGCAGTGATGATGACAGTCTCTGCAACCAGACTTCTGCGTGACCTTGGCAAGTTAAGACAACATGCGGCAATTATGTTTCTGTTACCTGTAATGCGAGATAATAAGAGTACCTACCACGAAGGGTTGTCAGGAGGATTAATCGAGGAAGTATATGTCGGATACTTAGGACAATGTCTGGCTCGTCATAAGCACTAAGTCAATATTTGATCTTACAATTATATCCATTTATAAAATCAGCACCATTTCTCACTTCCATTTTTTTCTTCTTTCCGATATTCTGGCATAAGACACTTATTTACAGAACCTCAGTCCCATTTTTTTTCTGTATCCACAATCTCTTTGGTTTTAACTCTCACCATTGCACCCTGGGTCTTTATTGAAGAAATTGAGTTATTAATCATCCCTGAGGACTTCCTTTCCTCCCCTGGTCTCTAAGCAACTTTTCTGCTAGTTTCTGGATCCTTTGCCTTCCCATTTCCTGTCTCATAGTTGGGATCCTAGAATACCTTTTCATGTCCTGGTGGTAGTCATCACCTTCCAAAGGAGTCTAGGCACCAGTTAGAACATGTCCCATACCACGTCATAGGGGAAAATCAGGCCCTCCTACGGGCTCTGAGCCAGCACCCCAAGATAAAACCTTCCTGCAGGTCCCCTCAGAGGCATTAGAACTGCTGTTCTTCTGGTCTGGAGTTGGGATCTGTTCCCTCTGCCAGGCAGTGATGGCTGAAGGAGCAGAGGCCCACAGAGCGGACTGGGTGGAAGCAAAGTCAGAGAGTGCCCAGTGTGCTGACAGAACAAAAGCTTTATTTTTTCATAGGGTCAGACACAGGTGATGACAATTGGCTAGGCAGATATTGCACCCCCTGGACATTCTGTGAGTTCCTGGAGAATGGACAGGAAGAGCCACTGGGGGGAGATCAGACTTCTCTCAGGGGAACTCCTCAGCACTGGTCAAAGGAAAAGAGATTTGAATATGAGCAGGGAGCAAGGCGGGCTTGGGATGGTCCTTGGACTTAGTTTCCTCAAAAGTCCCTTGTCTCAGCATCAGGATGCAGGTCAGCAGCAGTCCCCGCCCTGCTGACCACTGCCCCGGTCGCAGGAGCTAGAGCTCTGGCGTCGGCATCGGTGGGACCTGCGGCGCCTGTGGTGGCTCAGGCAGCAGCCGCCCTCGGAGCTGGGGCCAGAGCAGCCCCCGGAGCTTGGAGCACAGCCGGAGGAGACTGGGGGCAGACACTGTGCCGGGCTCTTCGGGGGACATTTAGGTGAGGGGCACTTGGGCGGGGGCTGGCACTGCTGCTGGTTCTGCTGGCAGGACATCTCGGCAGGAGGTCAGTGAGTCTGGATAGACCAAAGAAAAAGGTCAGTGCAAAAGTTTCAGGCCGGTGTCTCCTCTATGAATGGTTTAGAAAGCCCTTGCTCTTAAGACCACTGCTTCCTGAGATATGATCTTCAGGAAGGACAATGGAAACTGATCTCAAGTTGAATTGACCTGGCAGGATAT